GGCCAGGGGCTGTGCAGTTCGGGAGGGTCCCAAGCCCCACGGCGGCCGTCTGCAGGGAGAGGGTGGGCTGCAGCCGGCTCCACAGCACCCTCAGCCAGTCCCTGCCCATGACCCACCCTCCATGGATCGTTTGGTGGCCCCAGCAGGGCCACGGGCCCCTCACCTGTGCAGGTGCGTGGCCACACCAGACACGGATGAGGCTCCGGTTGCGCAGGCTCTCGTCCCCCGTTGCAATGCCCGTGATCACTGACTTGTCCAGCTGCAACAACACACATGTTGGAGAGGGCCCTTGGGGGCTGACAGCACCCCTGCCTCGGGGACATCTTTGCTGGGATGGGGACACCACTGCCAGCCTGGGGACACTTGGACACAACCACCATCAAAGGGACACCAGCGGTGGGGACAACACCACGAGCACGGGGACACCCATGCTGGGGTACCACCACCAGCCTGGGGACACCATGGCTGAGGAGACCTGGATGATGAGCTTGGTGAAGGGCTCTGTGATGATCTTCAGCAGGTCAGGGGCGTCGTTCCCACTACGGATGTTGAAGGTGGCCACGACCAGGTGGGTGACGTGGTGCAGGTACCCGCTCACCACCTCCAGTGGCAGCAGGACCAGCACCGACAGCCAGTTGAAGCAGTCGTGCACCGTGGCACCAGCGAAGGCCCTGCGTGGAGGAGCCCATTGGCATGGGGTGGCCCCCAGGCAGCAGCCCCTCCAGTCCCCTCTGCCCCGACCAGCTCTCACCGTTTGAACTCACTGCGGTCGCCAGCCTGCATGAGGGCCACGATGGTGTTGGTGACAGAGGTGCCAATGTTGGAGCCCATGATGATGGGGATGGCAGAGCGCACCTCCAGCACTGGGGACAGAGAGGCCCGCTAGCCCTGCGTGGCCCAGCTCGGGGTGACCCCGTCCAGCCACCCCATCCCCCAGCCTCAGGTCCCGGGGAGCCCCATGGGCGCACTCACGCCCCGAGGAGACCATGCTGACAATGATGGAGGTGGAGGTGGAGGAGCTCTGCACCAGCACGGTCACCAGGATGCCCACCACCAGCCCAGCCACGGGGTTGGAGAGGATGGCGTTGTCCTTGAAGATGTCCCCGGCCACCTTGCCTGCGAGAGAGCGTGAGCGGCAGGGTGCTGGCACGGTGGGTGCCACCAGCCGCCCACGTGCCCCCACCACCCTACCTCCGGCTAGCTGGAAGGCAGAGCTGAGCACGTCCAGGGAGCACACAAAGAGGTACAGGAACCCGAACATCAGGGGCACCTTGAGAAGGGAGACACAGATGGACTGGACCCTGGCCCAGCACCCCAGCTCTGCGCAAGACAAGAGAGAGTGTTAAATGCCGGCCGCAGCATGGCCCTGGCTCCCCGGGCTCCCGCAGCCCCACACCGTCCTCCTGTGCCCCCGGTGGGATGGGGCTCATGTCCCCAGCCGTGCCACCACTCCCTGGGCCCCCTGCACATCCTCCCACTCTGAAGCGCCTTGTGCCGACTGCCCCCGTCACCCCTCGGGTCTGCCCATGGCACCCTGGGCACCCTGCTGGCAGGCAGCCCACCACGCTTGGGGTCTGGCTAGGGTGCCAGCGTGAGGACTGGCATGGCGGGGCAGCTGGGAGGAATTGCTGCCAGTCCCAGGGGCAAAGCTTGGGCTCTCCTGGCACCCCATGCCCGACAGGGCGGGGCAGCGGGGGGGAATTGCTGCCAGTCCCAGGGGCAAAGCTTGGGCTCTCCTGGCACCCCATGCCCCCCCTGGGTGCCTCCGGCAGGCCTACAGAGTGCTCCCCAACCTGGGTACATCGTGCCTTGGGGTGCACCACCCGGCGATCTCACCTGGCTTCTGCAGCTCATCCAAGCCCAGCCGGGGCCCCTGCCAGGGCAGCGCCTCCAGCTCGTACCGCTCCCTGCCCTCGCCCAGGCGCCCCGGGGAGCCAGGGCAGGGGAAGCCATGGTCAGGGCAAGGCACCGCACCGACGGTGAAGGGGCAGGTGTGGGCACCCGGCAGCCGGTGCAGAGCTGGGGAGAGGGGGCACCCGTGTTATGGCCCCATCCTTGCGGGGACCCCCCTGCAGAGGAGAGCAGGGCACCGCCCGGGCCAGGGTCCAGCCAGAAGCGGAACTGAGCCCGGCGGGGTGAGGAAGAGGAGGATGAGAAGGGCTGGGGGCACCTACCTTGGGGGCTGGGGCAGTAGGCGAACTGGGGCCCGTGCACCACCCTTCCTCCCCGCACCGGGCAGCGGGGCAGGGCCGGGCTCTCCCTCTGGAAGGGCAGCATCGCTCCTGCTGAGGCTGAGCGGAGGCGGCCGCGTGTCACCACGGCAGAGCCATGGATGGCTGTGCCATGCCGACCACTACCAGCCCCCAGAATCCCTGTGGTGCTGGCACCACTGAGAAGGACCATCCCATCACCCAAAAGTCCCCTGCGCCACCGGCCACTCCCGTCCCACACCAGCAAGCTCCCTCAAGGGCAAGCAGCCCGGGCAGAGGGGACACGGGGAAGGGACCCCTCCTGCCCAGGGCCCTGCTCACCTGGGGCTGGCCGGGCACTCAGGGCAGCGCCATGTCCGCATGCCACATCCACGCGTCCCTCCAGCGAAGTGGCCCGCAGGGCACTGCGGCCCTTTATATGCACGACAAGAGCAAAGTCTAAGGAGACCCACATTGCCCCTCGCCTCCGCTCACCGCTCACCTCCTCCCCAGAAATTCCTGCAGTTAATGGGTAACCCTGCGGCATCCTGCGTCAGCTGCGGCTCCAGGGCGGGATGGGGCACGCGCCCCTAGGGTACCGTGCCGCCGGCACACCCCGCCTCGCCTGCCTGAGGCTCGGCATCGTCCCTGGGCGAGCAGCAGCCGGTGTGGTGGGGAGCGAAGCCAGGGCAGTGCTGGAGAACAGTGCCTGAGGGGCGATGCTGGAGCAGCCTCAGCTCTCCATCACTTGGTGCCAGGTGCTTCATCCCCTGCACAAGAGGAAGAGGAGGAGGAGAAGGGCTCGGTGCTGGTGCTGCTGGGGTGTCCCAAACCAGAGGTGAGGCCACACACACATCCACCATCATGTGGATGTGTGACGGCGGAGTCATCTAAGCATCAGCCGTGAGGGACCTGGCCCTGCCCAGGGCACGCGCCGTCCTCGCCGCCAGGGCGTTGGTGGTGGGTTACATCAGCATTGGCGCAGTCCCTGTGTCCTGTCGCTGGTGGTGACGGTGGCACGCGGCCCGGCTCAGCCCGTGCCAGCGGCTCAGCGCAGAGCAGCCGGCAGCACTGTGAGGGCTGCGTGGGGCAGAGCCCGCGTCTTCCCAGCATGTGCGATGCCGGGGCGGGCAGGAGCGGAGCGATGCCAGTGTTGCCATCACCACCTCCTTGACACCGTTTATCATTACCCGCTGTTTACACACCTCCGGCCAAGTTTCCATCCACCCATGAGGCACCCGGCCAGCTCGCATCCACGTCTGTCCAGGGGAGAGCCAGGGGCAAAGGCCCCTCCATCCCTGGCACCTGTGGGGAGTGGGGCACGGGGGGGCCGCGCGGCTGTCACGTCCCCATTCCTGTGGGACCAGGCACTCCTGGGTCCCACCACCACGGACAAGCCAGCCACGATTGTATGGGGGGAGCAAGTGGAGATTCCTTGGGTATCCCAGGGTGCTCAGGGGCAGCCTGGGGACATGCCAGCCTGAGGGCCTCCCTGCCACTGCTGGAGCATCACCGAGCCTCTGCCAAGTCACAAACCAACGGAGCTGAATGCTCAGGAGCTGCCATGGCAGGGGACATGTCCTGCCTCTGTGGGGGCCCGGGGACTCTTCTGACACTTGTCTGCGGACAGCGGCACCCGCAGAGCCCCGTGCCAGGCTGCAGCGGGCAGGAGGCTGGTGTCCACGCTTGCCCTGTGCCCAGGGGCTCTTGGCCAGCTGCCCCCACAATCATTAACCCAGTGAGGCCCTGGCAGCTCCGGCTGTCACTCATTGACAGGGTCGGGGCTGAAGTCCTTGGCCGTGCCGGCCCGGCAGCTTCCCCTACACCATCAGCGGTGCCGGGAAAATAAGCTCCTGGCACTGCCCCTTGCTGCCGGGCAGGGTGGCACTGGGGCCAAGGGCTGGCTCCAGCCCTGCCCTGGCCCCAGGGGGCTCCATGGGTTATGGAGGCGCCGTTTTTTCAGGGGGCTCCATGGGGTATGGGGGGGCTGGGGGGACATTGCTGCCGGGAAAAGCACCGTGTGGCCTCGGTAGCGGAGGAAGGAGAGGGACGCGCGTCCAGGCAATGCTCTTTATTTCCCCCGGTTTCACACCACAGATGGGACTGAGCAGCACCATGGAGACACAGGGGGGCTCTGACCGGGGGCCACGGGGTGGCAGCCAGCCACAGCAGCGTGGGGCTGGGTGGACATGCCCCTCGTTCCTGGGTGAGCCCTGGGGCTGCCCTGGGCCACCCCTCTGCCTCTGGCCGGGCAGTGGTGACAGAGCGGTGACCCAGGGAAGGGCCCCGGCACACACGGACGATGGAGGGATCTCCTGGCTGCTGTCAGGGGGCTGTCTCCGTCACAGACTGGGTCTGGGACCTCTGAGAACATGGGGCTGCCAGAGGTGGGGACCCGCAGGGCACAGCCAGGTCCGGCAGAGCTGGTCTCAAGGTTACAGCCCAGCACAGCTGCCGGCAGGGATGCCAGGCTGGGCACACGCTGGGTACCTGCACACCAGGCTGAGATGCTCAGCACCCAGGGGTGCTGCATTCCTCTGGCACCAGGCAGGCCTGTCCCCAACAGCTGAGCACCCGCAGCCCCAGCCGGGCTGGGGCAGGGGACCTACGGGGATCTGCTCCTGCGGGTCGCTTCAGCAGCTGGCCACGCAGGGTCTCCCTGCGGGGAGGAGGAAGGCTTCTTTAGCATGACCTGCTGGCTCTGCCTCTGTCTGCTCGGGGCAGGAACCAGGTGCCCTGCTCCACAACGGCAGTGCTATCGTGGCACGATCAGGCCCAGCCACGCTCACGCGACACAGATGGTAACAAGCTGCCTGGGGCACAGGCTGGCAAGGGCCATGCTCACCCTCCCCAGGAGGGGTAGACCTGCACATCAGCAACGGGGGAAGCCCTGTTCCTGTGGGTCAGGGACCAGATCCAGCCCTCAGCTTCGGACACGTGTTCTCCTGACCCTGCCTGCCCACAGCACCGGGGTTCGGGGCTGGAGCCTGCCTTGCCACCCCACCCACCCTCTCTATCCCTCACACCCTTTGGTTGAAAGGGTGCTTTCCCCACCTGAACAGTCAGCGGGGCTGTGCCAGCCCGGCACAGGCAGGATTTGCTGGGCGGGCAGCCCTGCTGCAGGCAGAACAGGCAGAGGCACTGGGCAGGACAGTGCCAGGCATGCGTGGGACGTTGCAAAGTGCTTTGCAACGGGGGTTCAAACTATGTACAGGACTCCCTTGACGTGCACCAGGATGTGACCCCACCGAGGGGCATGGCAGCTGCTCAACCACTCACAGCGACACGACACGACAGTTTGAGACAGGACGTGGACGAATCTGCGGTCCAGGCAGTGTTGGCGGTGCAGGGCAGGGGCTGGTCAGACCCCGTGTTGGACCCCGGCATGGCCCGGGGGTACCACGTGCCAGGTGTGGACGTGCAGCAGGACTCATCGGAGCTCGTGGTTGACCGGAGGCTGAGCCGGCGCAGGCTCTGTGGGCTGAGGATGGCCGTTTCCCTCGGAGCCTGGGTGAGGGGCGCGGGGCTGATCCGACCCTTCGCAGGCACTGTCATCCTGCCCAGGGAGCTGGAGGAAGTCAGGCAGGACCAGGTCCTCCTTGGAGAGCAGCCCACGCTGGTCATTGGCCCGGCAGCTCTGAGCACGGTTCAGCAGCTCCACCAGACCTGGGGGAAATGCAGGTCACGCACCTGAGCCTAGCACTCGGGCTCCTGTCCTAATGCCTTGTCTGCTCTGTCCACCTGACATGACCCTGAACATCTCCCAGGCACAGCACCTGCACCTTCTCCCTGCTCCATGCCAGCACCCATGGGACCCTGCACCCATCCCCAGCAGACTGGGACCCTGCATCCCTCATCCTGCAGACCTGGGGGAAATGCAGGTCACGCACCTGAGCCTAGCACTCGGGCTCCTGTCCTAATGCCTTGTCTGCTCTGTCCACCTGACATGACCCTGAACATCTCCCAGGCACAGCACCTGCACCTTCTCCCTGCTCCATGCCAGCACCCATGGGACCCTGCACCCATCCCCAGCAGACTGGGACCCTGCATCCCTCATCCCATGTTTTGTCCCAGCCCCTCAGGTTTCAGACACGCCAGATCTCACCTTCCAGGTCATACGTGCGGCGGTTCAGGTTCATGGCAGCTGAAGACTGGGGCCGGGAGAAGGAGGAGGGCATCTCCCACAGTGTGTCGGGCTCTGCTCCTGTCAGGCTTCCCTCCTGCAATGAGCAGCCCAGGCCTCAGCGATGGGGCAAGGAGGCAGTGCTCCCCCAGCCCACATCCCCATCGCCCTCCTGCAGCCTGGCTCCCGCCTCGGCACCTGCAGCCCAGCCCTGCAGCATGTGCCAGGGTCGCAGCAGGGCATACCTTCCCCACAGACCATGGCAGCAGCCGTGGGGACATCTCCGACCGGGATGGTGGGATATTGAGCTCACCTCGCTCCGGAGCGGGGAGGGGGCGGCTGCAGCCTCGGCGCTCTCCGTCACTCGCATGTCTGCAAGGTAAGTGATGCTCAGTGCCCCTTACCCGGCCAGTGACAGGATGGAGACCATCCCAGGGAGCAGGAGCCATGGCCAGCAAAATGCAGCCTGGCCCTGTGAGCACTCAGGGTGGGGGGGGGGCACATGGCCTGGGAGGGGGACACAGCTTGGAGGGGAGGACACTTTACCAGCCAGCGTTTCCAGGACGAGTTTCTGAGCAGCCACCGTGCTGACCAGCTTCTCCAGGTCCAGGGCAGCTGGCTCACCTTGCTGCAACGGGAAGAGCCAGCCAGTGTCACTCTCGCTGTGGCACAGCAAAGGTGGTCAGGCTGAGGACCTGTGATCTCGCTGGCCAGACCCTGCTGGGTCACAGGCTGCACAGTACAGAGCACACCCACCGATCCCTCCTGGCCCACGGCGGGGTGCCACGGCCCACCTCAGACACGGGTGACTCTCCACAAGCTTGCAGGCTGCCCCCAGCATGGACCACTGCTCCCCACCTCCTGC